ACAAATTTTCGATCAATTTCAACGGTAAGCTTTATTAGGAAATTAGACACGGATTAGACTAGATCAGCGCTCGGAATTAATTGCACATTTCGGAGGTTTCCTCTACCATCACTCGAAGCTCATCGGCCAAAACGGCTGTGCTTCAAGAGCGTTGCCATATAAGAAACATGTAAACTATCCGTATACCCCAAATTGTGCTTTAATTATTGGTGTTTATTTCGTAAATATAAAACATAAAACGTAATGGGTCAAATATCTCAAAAAATATAAAAAATATGGAAAAATATTTCAAACAAAAATTTTATAACTTTTATAGCTTTAAAAAAGAAAAATAATGACATTATCGATTCAATTGTAATGATATTGTAATGATATTTTCCAAATCAAGTTTAAAAATGGTAGTAAAATATCTGGTAGTAAACCAATTTGTTTACCAGATTTTATGTGGATATTTTCTTTGAAAAAGAATAAAAAATAAAGAATAAAAAAATTTATTATTAGCTATCATTGTAACAATACAAAAAAAAAAAACCAAGCAAAAACATAAGAATATACCATAAGAATATATATTAAATTTTTTACATATACTGTAAATAAATACTTGTATCGTCAACAATTTAATATTTTTTTATTTTGCATTCAATGATTCTTCAATCTCCAGAAAAAAATTAAATATTAACAAAAAATAAGATATTTTATTTAACAAATTCAAGACATTACATATCAAAGTTAGCTATGTAAAAAATATAGGAAAAAAAGATTATTAGGCACTGTATGTCTTTCTTTTTAAATATGCAATTTTTATTGAAACATTTTTCATAAGATAAATAATTTATGAATAATTTTAAGTCAATTCTCTCAAATAAAATAAATTATCTTGCATATCATATTATATCTAATTATGTAACTTAATTATTAAACCATAGAAATATTATTAAACGTATAGAAATATAATGAAATATATAATAATAATGATTAAATTAGCATTAAAACAAAATGTATAATAACAAAATGTCTAAAATTAAAATAATGTCCTTAATGTATTAATAATAAAAAATCAAACTTAATAACATAAGAAAAATACCTTAAGTTTTTTTTTCTTCACTTTTGGGGCATTTGTACCACAAATAATACTTTCTATTGTCATCTTGATATGAGATAAAATGTGCATTTACTTTAAGTTAAGCACAATGTTCTAAAGAAAAAATCATAGATAAAAATAGAAGCTAATCAATATATGGAATATAATATTCTAAATTTATAATACAGTAGAAGTCCGTTTATCTGAACATGTCGAGGAATAAAACAAGTTTCTATAACTAAAACCGATAATAGGAGCTGATGTTTAGAAAACTGAAATCAAGATCAGCTGTAAGTTCATATATTTGAACCTAAACATAAATTTGTTTGTATAAATAGAGTAAAAATAAGCGAAGTTTTACTGTATACATCAAAGTATTACATACATTAATATGAATAATGAATGAATATTTTCATATGGAACATGATTGTAAAATCATATATTGAAGTTCTGCCTAGAATTTGTTTTGCCTAAATATCAATATATATCAACATTTATGCTTATTGCCTTTCCTACTACTGACTTCATAAAAGATTTTAATGTGTGTCAACTTTATTTAAAATATTATTCTAAAATTATTATTATCTTTCAAAACTGTTATTTTTTTTACTATCGTTTTCTTTAAGTTATTGTTTTCCACTACTTTTTTCTGACGATCTCATAGATTTGTTTCTAATATTAATCACTACATATTACAAAAAGACAATTATATAATGAGAAGTAATAAAAGTAAATATCAATATATCCGTAATATACAACATAAGCAAAACTGCACATTCTGGAGAGCATTTATATATTGTATAAACAAAGTAACATACACTCAAGGATAGAAAAAATTAACAAAATTTGTGTACAGTAAAGATAAAATAAATATTCTAGATAAAAAATCTATCAAAATTTTATATCTTACATATATTACAAAACATAAACTTCCAATTATATATTCATACATAAATTGCATGTATTAATAACATAATTATATAAATAATAATAATTATTATGGATAAATAAATTTAAATGTTTATAAAAAATAAGATATTGATGTA